CACCTTTTCCTTAACTTGGGTGGTTTTCTGTTCTCTTACTTTCCAGCAACTCCTAAGATTAAAGGGTGTCCTGGCCCAGGTCATGTGACTTCTCCTGACTGGTTTGGATTCTGCCTGTGTCCTGGGTAAGGGCTGAGAGTGTTTGTATGTGGAAGTGAGTCTAGGGAGAAAAGGAAGGGTGGGGTGACAAACCAAGGTCTTCAGGAACCGGGTCGAGAAGGAGGTCCCATGTGGAATGGGCAGGAGAAAGCCATAGCGCTCAGGATGCAGGAGAGTGGGGGGCTGACATGTGCCTCATGTTGGGGTGTCTGAGGAAACCTGGTTGAGAAGGCTGTCAGACGTGGGCCTCCACACCGAGTACAATGACTGTGATGTGCACCTGCTGTGATTTTATTAAGGACCACATCTTCAGGGCTAGGAAGATGATTCCGTGGGCCAAGCACTTGTCACACAAGTGCAAGAACTGGGGTTTGGGTTCCCAGAACCCATGGGAGAGACGGACACGGTAGCCTGCAACTATAATCCCAGCTATCTTACAGCGATGGCGGCAGAGCCGGGAGACTGGAAACTGGGGAAGCTGGCATGCGCACACGGGTCTAACACGACACTTTCAAAGGCCAGCCCAGCTCAGCTGGCAGACACCTGCTTGCTGGGGCATGATGGTAGAAGCCATCAAAAGTCTTGCCTTCTGCGGCTAAGCCTTTGGGCTTTCATAAAGGCAGGAGCGGAGAGGTGTATGTGTGTAGTATGTGATAGTCACAGGGAAGCCTGGGGTCTGAGCAGGGGCGGTGGAGGCGGTGCTCCTTCATGCTAGGTGGTATGACGGCTCACGTATGAAGAATGTGGGCGCTGTGTGCTCACCTCCGAGGCCACAGTGAAGTCGTGTGAGGCCACATAGGCGAAGGATCCCAGAACCACCTAAGTCTCATTACACACTCGATTTTTAATGTTTAGATATTGCATCTTCAAAAACCTTTTGCTATTGCCAAATAGTTTATGACTCCCCTTAGTTATTTAAAAAAAAAATCTGTAATTGCAGTCCACTAAAGCTTTGGTTAAATATGTTTAGGGGAAGAGGGGGCTTTTGGTGACCAGGTGTGCGTGTGGTTCTGGGCTCACTGATGCTATCTATAGTAGCCATTTCGTCTTCTTAGGCCTTTCTGCTCTGTGCTGACATGGCTTACAACCATGCACATTAATATACATGCACGCTTGCCTTTGTGCACAAGCATGCATACACAGAACCTGGGATGGGACTCTCACTGTGTCCAGGTCCCCAGGAGGAGCAAGCAGATTATGCAAAAGGCAAACAAGCTCACAGCTGTGTGGGGAGGAAGAAATACACCACAGGGACCTGAGGGTGACAGGTAGGGATAGGTGTGGGGGGGGCAGGTCAGAGGTCAAAAGTCAACTTCTGCTGTTATTCCTCAGACACCATCCACCTTTTTTTTTTTTTTTTGTCATTCACCAGGATCTAGGACTTACCAATTAGCCTAGACTGTCTGCCCATCAAGTCCCTGGGATCTTCCTAACTCTGGGAATTGCAAGAACATCCCAGATTGGGGGCATCTTTTGTTACTTTTGTTACAGCTTTATTGGTTTATTGTATGTGTGTGCATGTGTGCCTCTGTGTGCATGTGTGTCACCATGCACATGCAGAGGCCAGAGGACACTTGTGGCAGCTGATTCTCTTCTTTCATCACATAGGTCCCCGGAATCGAGCACAGGTCATCAGGCTTGGCAGCAGGCGCCTTTCACGCTCAACAATCTCATTGGCCCTGGTTTGGTTTGGTTTGTTTTTGCAGGGGTTCTAGGGATCAAACCCGTGCCCTGTGCTCACAGGGCAGACACTTTACCAGTTGGTCCACCTTCCTGGCCCAGGGGTAGACTGGGACTGGATCCTGCCAAGAACCTGAAGCAGTGCAGATGTGATGGGGTCTGCGGGACTGGGGTGGGGGGGGAGCAGCAGGTGTAAACGCGATGACAAACGGGCTGCAGAAACTTCCCGTCCCAGCAGTGAGGCCTGCTCAATTATTGATAAGCATCACATGGGCTCCTGCTTGCAAAGAACCCTTTCCTCCCAGGAAAGTTAAATTTATTGGGCAGCAATAGCTTCTTTTTTCCCCATGTCTTTCTTATTAAACAAAGATAAGGCAACCACCAAGCAGGGTCCCTGCTCACTCACTTGTTCACCCAGCAAACATTTTCTGAACCCTTATTGTGTAGCTACTGCCATGGAATTGTGGCAGGCGGGGCCTTTGCTCTCCCGCCGGTTTTTGCTTTGGCTTGTGTGTGCGTACGTGTTCACATGTGCGTGGATGCACATACACAGATGTGTATTGATGCTGGTGTCTTCCCCACCTGATCTCCACCCTATATACTGAGGCGGGGTCGCTCACCCGAGCCCAGAGGTCATCAGTTTCAATTCTCTTTTGTTTGTTTGTTTGTTTGTTTGTTTCAGTTTCAATACTCTAACTAGACAGCTGCCTCTGGGGATCCTGCCTCACGTGCACTGAGATTGCAGGCGTGTGTTGGCACCAGCATTGGTCCCGAGAGCCAACACCAATGTTTTCCCAGCTGAGCCATCTCCTCAGACCTGACTCTCCTGTTCTCGCTGCAGAAATAGATGCTGACCCAATGACAGAAGCAGGGCCAAGTTTGAGAGACAATGAAGGAGGCCACGAGGAAAGAAGAGGTGTGGGCCACAAAGCTGGACCAGTCCTATATACCCTCAGCTGTGACCCTGGCTCACTTCCAGGGAGGGGTGGCATGTCCCTGGGCTCCTTCTCCTTTTTGTCTTGTGTATGTGTGTGTTCATATGTATGAGGGTGTACACGGGACAAGACGCACGTGTGGGCGTGGAACTGATCGTGAACATATCATGCCCGTATGACATTCCAAAGTCAACCTCAAGGGATCACTACTCAGACACCGCTCACCGTGATTATTATTTGAGACAGGATCTCTCACTGGCCTGGAGCTAACCCATTTGCTAGCCTGACTGGGCAGCAAGTAGCATGAAACTGGCTGGCTGCGCCTGCTCTGTGCTGGGTTTACACGTGTTGCCATGCCTGGTTCTTTATGAACCCGGGACCTCATTCTAGCATGGCGAGAACATCCTGGAGTCTGAGCACACCTTGTGGTTAGTAGGCAGTAAATCGGGGTGTCAAACCTGGGTCCAGAGTCCTGAGGAGCTTGTAGCTAGTGTGTAATTCAGTGATAGCGTGCCTGCCCAGCAATTGTGAGGACCTGGGTTCAATTCCCAGCACAGAAAAAGAAAACCCAGACAGAATGGATGCTTGGGAGGTGCCTCTCCAGCAACAGCAGAAACCTCTCTGAGCGCCCCTCAACACACAGACACATCTGCTGGGAAGAAAGATGGGTTCCCAGGTGATGAGAACACAGGGGGAGAAACGGCACCCCCAGAGCCAGTGGGTAAAGGCCATCCTGCTGACATCCCAGGTCCCAGACGGTAAAAGGATAAGCAACTTCTACAAGATGTCCCCGAACTACTGTGTCTTCTCTGGTCTGAGAATGCACACATAATAGATAAACATGTAACACAATCCTTTACAAAGAAACCACACCCCAAAGGCTCCTCCAGCAGAGCTCAGCCAGTTCCCTGCACATTCCCAGCTAAGCCAGCAGCACTGCCAGGGAGAGAGGGCAGTGTCGCTTTGCCGATGGCTGTCTGTGAAGTCTGTAACTTGTCTCTGTCTGACCTCTCTTGCTGAGTCCTGTGCTGGCTCCGTCATCACTGGTAGGACTGTCAACCTCCCATAAAAAGAAAAAGTGACCTATTTTAGAATTCCTCCGGGGAAGGAGTCGGTGTGTTGCCTTGGCAACCAATTTGGGCTCTTACAGGGGTCCTGCTTGGTTCTTCCTTCAGTCTAACCTACTTCCGCCCAGATGTCACTCAGAGCTCTTGTGGTCAGGCATGAGGAGGCAGTGGGGAAAGGATGCTGACAGCCACACCCTGCTGCCAGGGCTTCCCCACCTGTGACAGAGCCAGGGAAACAGCGGGGTGAGAAGATGGGTGGGGGATATGGGAGTCTGCTCCCTCTCCCAGAAGTGGGGGTACTGAGGAGCTGAGCAGGGCCTGGACTTGCTAATTTGCACTGGTTCCGGCAGTTGCATCCCTGCAGACACCATCCCCTTTCATCCCTCCGACTGACCACCCGACTCAAGTCTGCCTCCCTCCGCCAGCCTCCACTCTCCAGAAGTCCCCCCAGCCCTGACCCCAGGAGCCCACCATAGCCTTTCTACATCTTATACCAAAGGACTCTCTAATGGAGGCTCTGGGTGAGCCATGGGATCCTTAAACTCGCCCCATGCCTCAAGGGCATTCCCAGACTCCTTCTCCATGAGATTGAACACATGTCCACCCCCATTGTCCCATCTGCCCCATTTCCCCCATGACACCAGTGGACACTGAGATGTTAAAGGACCATCATAAAGTGAAGTTCTAGCCTGGCACTGCCTCCTGGCACTATCTCATAATCGGATCTTCCATAGACGTGACTTCAGCAGAAACGTAACTTCCAGGGCTACGTCACTGCAGATGGCAGGAGCACAGGCTTGGACACAATAAGAAGGAGAAAGGAAGTAGTGGGGTCATTTAACTAGAAAGGCTCCCACGCAGGCTCCACCTTGTAATGTCACTTCTCTGTTAGTGTCATTCTCTGCAAGCCCTTCCTACATGGGAGCAGAGACGACAGCACCAGGGTCTGCCCTGCAGGGTGGCTAGAAACTCCAACGGGAAGAAGGCATCGCCCGCCCAGGCTCAAACTGTGTCTCCTGGAATCAGTCTGGTATCATGTTCAGGTCCCCTGTCCAAGCTGTGTCCTGTGACTGTTCCCTTCAGCCAAGTGGTAGAACAATCCCCATGGGCGCTGTGACCTGGACTGCAGGGAGGTGCCTCCCTCTGTTAGTGAATCTACAAGAGTCTGGTACAGGTTCTCAAAAGTCTATACAGGTATAAAGTAGGGATAAACACTCACTGGTACAGAATCAAATTGACGCCACCCCTGATCCAGCTGCCTCCGTCCAGTCATTCTTTCCAGGGGGTAAAGAGCACCAGCTGCAAGCCGCCTGCTCTGCTCTGACAGCCTGCAAGAGCGAGAGAGCGAGAGACCCTCTCCCTTAGCTTATAAGTTGTCACATAGGCAGACAAGACCACACCCTAGGGCTAGCTGCCCCAAAAGTCATTGGTTAAATGGATCAAAATCCCACAACATTTCCCCTTTTTTCTAAATAAGGTTTTAATCCTAACCTAAAACTATTTACAATAAGAACAACTATCAAGTATTGTGCAGAAGAAAGAGAAGGTGATAACACAAACGAAGATGAAACTAACCAACAGGAACAACATCAAGCAAGAAACACATTCTAAATGTCCAGACCATATATAAATGGCAAACTACAGAGATTGCTCCAATAGCTGGCCTATCCTGGAAAGTCCGAGTCTTGTACCTAATATGTCCTAGCTCAGATATGAGAGGATGGTAACTACCTAATCCCTCTTAGATGGCCAATCTTGATTGTAAACCTGATTGGATCTGGAATCGACGAATAGACACACCTGTGGGTGGGTCTGTGAGGGGAAGGACCTCAGCTCGACTGAGTGACACCTTCCTATGGTGGCCCAGATATAAAGCCATGTGGGGGAAGCCATGGTGCTTTGCCTGCTTGCATCCCCCTTTGCTGCTAAGTGCATCCATCCTGGAACTTCAGTCGCTCCAGCCCTACTTCTCCAACACCAGACTACAGTCTCTTCGCCCTTCTGACATAGACAGAAGACAAGCATCTCTTCAAGAATCCTCCAAGCCCTCAGCATCAGACTGGGCTTCTGAGGTATCTCGTCTCATTGGCAAAGCAAACTACCAGGTCATAGCCTCTCCAGTGCGCAGACAGCCACCGACCGTAGAATAGAGATTGAGCTGATGAGATGTAGCATCCACAGACACGCTGCCGCCTTTCCAGTCATCCTTCCCTCCTTCCAAAGGGCAGAACGTGGGCTTAGGAGGGTCCCCTTGCAACGCATCTTTATCACTGAAGGACTGGGTAGGGCCAGTAGAGAACATATACTGAGCAATAAACAAACAAACTCAAACAGGCGCTGACCCTGAACTTACACAGAGGAATGAGTGGTGGGCTGCTTTCTCCCAGAGACCCTCGGCTGTCTTCTTCCAGAGACATTTCTCTTCCACACTCACTGCCAGATGGACTTTGCTGCCATCAAAACACATCTTGTGATGACAGGTCTGTTTGTATTTTAGATAACAAATAAATGCTGGTGCCGCTCACTCCACCTCCACAAGGGGACCTGATGAGCTGGCTGATGGCCTAAGATGCTAAGCCTGCGCCTTAGGCTGATGGACAGGAGTGTGTATGCTCCACAAGTGGGCTTCTGGAAGGTTCTGATAAGCATTTTGTCCCAGGAGACCTGGCACTGACAACTGGCAGTGACAGAGATGTTAACACTCAGAGCCGAGAGCGGCTGGGCAAAGACTGGCACCTCTTCGTAGGTTTCACACCCCTGGACCAGGCCTGTCCCTTCCTCCCACCCCTCCCCCAATAAAACAGGAAACCAAAACTTACCTTCTGGTCTTAACTTCTAAGAAACAGACAGACTTGGTGCTACAGGCCTGTGCTTCAGCTACTCAGGGGCTGAGGCAAGAGGATCGCAAGTTCAAGACCAGCCCAGATCACAGACTGAGTCAAAACCAACAGGGTGACTAATAAAATACTGCTTCAAGATAAGACAGAGGTGTGACTCAGCAGTGAGAACGTGGAGGTGTGGCTCAGTGGTGAAAACGTACAGGTGTGGCTCAGGGGTAAAAATGTGAGGTGTGGCTCAGAGGTGAAAATGTAGAGGTGTGGCTCAGGGGTAAAAATGTGAGGTGTGGCTCAGAGGTGAAAATGTGGAGGTGCAACCCAGTGGTGAAAATGTGGAGGTGTGGCTCAGGGGTAAAAAACGTGAGGTGTGGCTCAGTGGTGAAAATGTGGAGGTGTGGCTCAGGGGTGAAAACGTGGAGTGTGACTCAGTAGAGAAAACATGGCGGTGTGACACAGAGGTGAAAATGTGGAGGTGTGGCTCAGTGGTGAAGTGTTCACCTAGCAAGTATGGAACCTACAATCAACCCTGATAGTATGAAAGAAGGGGAGAAAGGGGGGAAAGGAAGAGGAGGGAAGAGCAAAAAATTAATTCCCTCCTTCATGTACCTTCCAGGTCTGCAGAAGCTGCGCTCTATGAAGGATGGAGAAAGGGCTGAGGAGAAAGCCCCAAACGCTCATATTGTGTGCAGAATGAAGTGCCTCTCATTGCAGTGCTGGGATCGAATCAGGGCCTTGGGCGTGCTGGGCCAGCTACCACTGAGCCACAGCCCCAGGAATACCTGTGTTTGCCCATCTATAAGTTAAATCACTTGTTCAGAGCCGCAAGCAGCAATAACGGACAGATGGATGTGAGGTGGACAGCCAGCCCACAGTTGCCTTTCGCCTTGGTCCTCGTAGAACATAACAGGACAGAGAATAGGGAACAGGGCCACACCCAGGTGCTCTGGTGGGAGTCTCGGTGCTCCAGGGGGAGGTTGGTGCCAGGAAGGACCAGGGAAGGTAATTGCTGACTTGACTCTTTGCAGATGGAAGAGCTTTTATTTGCTGTTTTTTGTTTTTTCTCCAACATGGGTCCAGAAAAGGCCAAGTGGGATTTGTAGCATCCCATTTTCTCTGTTTCCATCAACGCATTATGTGGTCCGTAAAGGGCATTTCACTCCTTTTGTGCAGACGTGGACTTTGTACATAACTTTAGCAAACGGAACCACTGAGGCGGTATCAGTGCTACCCACACCGTCTCCCTCGGCTTCCCAAACAGCCCTACTCAGGGTCATATCACTGTCAGACAGCGATCTGAGAAAAGGGTGTGGGAGGAAGGGAGGGAGAGAGGGAGAGACAGAGAGACACACACAGAGATTTGTTGTGTGATGGAAAGAAGGCAAGGAGGGGGACCAAACCCCGAGAGCCCATCTCTTCTCCAGCCTGGAGCATCCATGCTTGTGTGCAGCACAACCAAAGCTCCCTGGCCCTTTGATCGGGGACCCCATGCTGGGCCTTGTTCGTGAGATTTTTTAATTCTCTTTCATTTTATTGAGCGGCTTCCCTCCCCACCTCCATACCCAGAATCCGGTCTTAGAATTATTGGGTCCTTCTTCCCATTGATGCGTTTTTATGAGCTTTGTAGTAGATGCAGAAATATATGGACATAACAAGGAAGAAAGGAAGGAAGAAAAGGAGGGAGGGAGGGGGAGGGTTGGAGTCTGAGCAGCCTTCCTGTGGAAGGGAGGGCATGTGAGGAAAGTCTTGGGTACAGCCACATTTCACGGAAAAATGAAGAAATGGAAGGACAGTCAATTGGTGCCCAAGAAAGGAATTTCAGATACTAAATACGGCCCCTGGCTTATGGGGGCTGGCCACTGCTGAACAGTAAGGCTCCCTCAAGAGCACGGGGGTGTGAGGAGGGCACTCTGTTGACCCCATGCCTGGATGCATTTGCCCTCTGCTGAAAACAGTCCTGTGTGAGCTCAGTCATGCATCCCGTCAGGGACCCCCACAGGACATGCGCTAGGCACTGCCCCAGAAACCAGGAAGGCACATGTCTGCTCCTTCCCATCTCTAGGACTTGGTTTCGCATTAATCTCTGTGTCTTTCAGCTACCTTGGCACAGCCCCCGCCCCACTGCGTGTGTTTATGCTGTGCCCTGTGGGAGGAGTTTATTTGCGTTTTAGGGTGCTTATTGGGTGAGACTTTTCCTGCCAGTACAAAGATGGAAACTGAGGCACCAATGGGAAGACTGTGTTGGATGTGAGAGACTGACTTCTCCCAACCTGAGTGAACACTCTTCCCATCTCAAAGCCAAGTGAGAAGGGCCCAAGAGTCAGTGATTAAGATCTGAGGTTCCAAGCCGGATGTGGTGGTGTTGCCTGTGGTCCCTGCATCTACCTGAAAGGCTGAGGCAAGAGGACAGTGAGTTCAAGACCAACCTGAACTACATTGTGAGGCACTGTGGAATTCCCATAAGGCATGTGAGCTGGGCCCTAGGCGCCTTTCTCCATTAACAAATGGGTGTCGGTGTACAGATAACCCCAGCTCCTGTGTTTGGTTAAAATAAGTCCAGTCTCTAGCTTTACTTCACAGTACATTGCCTAAGGTAATGCATGGTAAAGTCCATCTTAGGGTAGCAATAGATGATATCTCATTGTTTCTTTGAGTAATAATTCTGGAGCATCTTCACCCTAGAATTCTGACCAAGGTCACTCAGGGTAGTGAAGGTGTGTATCATCAGGCTGTGGCCAACCCAAGGCTTCACTAGGGCCGAGTAGTCTATTTTCAAGATGGAGCACTTACATGTCTGGTGTTTGCTAGAAACCTGTTCAACCCCAAGTAGATCTTTTCTAGGACTTTGCAAGTATTCTTATTATCTGTGGCTGGCATCCTCAGAGCAGACAATCCAAGAGAGGGGAAGATCAAAGAGCTTATTATGACCCTACCTTCAAAAGTCAAAGGCTGCGTTGATTATCTATTGCTGCATAACAAAGTATCCAAGACATGATAGTTTTAGCAGGAATCATTAGCTTTCCCACACAGTGTGTGTGTGTGTGTGTGTGTGTGTGTGTCTGTGTCTGTGTCTGTGTGTGTCCTGGACTGGGTAACAAAGTATTCAAGACACAACAGCTTTAGCAGGAATCATTAGCTTCCCCCACAGATACGTGTGGCCTGACCTGGCACAAATCCAGCAAGACGGTCCCTCTATCCCAGACCACTTCCAGCCACTTCCCAGCCCTGGGAGCCAGCTCCAACCAACTCAGCACACGCAGCTCAGTCTGGTGTAGACCCACTACGGCAGCCACTCCAGCACGCTACCTTACACCGTTTTTCATCCCCAGGAGCCATCTCCAGCTGACGGGTAGCTGGGCCCAGTGCAGATCGGAAAGGCAGCTGACCCACCTCCACTCCTTCCAGTTTCTCCCAAGCCACACAGCCAACTGTCCACCCCCAGGCTCTTGCCCAATGGGCTGAGAACACATAGTGAAAGACACAATCATCAGCATAACTCCAGATGCTCAG